CCCAGCTTCCCTCCCATCGAGCCAGTGAAATGTGGAAGGAGGACTCTGTGTCCCTTCTGGGCTCAGGTGCTGAGCCTCGGGTGCTCCTCACACTTCTTTCTGCCTCTGTTTTACCCGATGATGCTGGGGCGACTTGGGAACCACAGATGGTGGGCCCCAAAGGTAGAAGCGCTCTGGGTTCCTGACCCATGCAATTACCCTGTCATGTGAACAAATGCACGTTTAGGACTTAGTCCTTTCTGCACCACCGCCAAGCCCATCCTAACACGCCAGGCTGGCTTTTTTTTTTTTTCCCCCAAGTAAAAACAAATTAATTGATAGACTGATTCTAGCAGTATTTGTTGAAAAGACTTTTCCCCATTGGATTGCTCTGGGGACTTTACTGGGGCCCCTGTGACGACGGTGTGCGTGTGCACCTGTGTCCTCCGGGGCCTCGGCGTCTACGTGTGGGCCGTGTGCCAGCGCCATGCTGTCTCCATACTGTAGCTCCACGGTAGGTCTTGAAGTCCTTCAACTTTGTTCTTTTCCAAGATTGCTCTTTAGATCCCACGTGCTAAGCATTTCCATATAAAGTTTAGATTCAGCTGATCAACTTTTTTTGTAATGTACTTGTCTGAGTTTGGTGCCAGAGTTATACTGGCCTCACGAAATGAGGGAAAATGTCATCTCGCCTATTTTCAGGAAGGCTTTGTGTAATGTTGACGTTATTCCTTCCTTGAATGTTTGATAGAGTTTGCCAGTGAAACCACCTGATCCTGGGTATTTCTTTGTGGGAATGCTTTTTGTTAATGCATTGAAATTATGTAATAAATATGGGCCCACTCCAATTCTGAATCTCATCTTGGCTCAGTTTCTAAACGTCTTTTTTTTTTTTCTAAACGTCTTTATTGAGACATCATTTGCATCAAGAAGTGTACGGTGTTGAAGTGTACAGTTCCGTGGCTTTTATTATATTCACAGAGTTGTGTAGCCGCCACGACTACCTAACCCCAGAACAGGGTTAATCCCTGTTGTTCACGGTGGGACGAAGTCACCGCAAATCCCGAGTTAGCTGAGGCTGAGCCACTGCTCTTAGAGGAAATGCACGCAGGTGCGCACACACACTTTCCGTAGATAAGAACCCTGGGAATCGAGAAACAATTCATTCTGGCAGATTCTATTTGACAAAAGAGAAAACGAGGCTCAGAAGTGTTATGTGAACTTGCCAGGAGTGGGGATTTGCACCTGAGCCTCGGGCCCCAGAGCTGGAGCCATTTGCCCCCATCCGCCACCGCCGCCTTCATCCTTGGGGCTCTGAGGCAGAGCCTCGCCTAGTTCTGCCTCAGCTGGGGATGCACAAGTCTTCACCTGTCTTCAAATGACCAGGAAAGTAAGTACTGATCTTGGGATTACAAACAGATGTTGTCAAGTGGGCCAATTTGCAAATACCCAAGCTTCCAATGGGGATCAAGCGTGTTTCATTGCCCCAGGAAAGCCCACACCCGTCCGCAGCTGCTCCCGTTCACCCCCAAACACCCCCCCACCCAGCCTGCAGCAGCTGGCCTGCTTGGTGGGTCATCGTCCCTCCAGGGCTAGCCTGGGGCCCAGCCTGCGGTAACATGGGGTATCCTGACGCTTATTAAATACCCGTTCAAAAAATGTTAGACGGAGGTCCAAGGATACACAATTGAATTTTTATTTTTATTTTATTTTATTTTTTTAAGATTTTATTTATTTACTTGAGAGAGAGAATGAGAGAGAGAGAGCACATGAGAGGGGGGCTCCCCGCTGAGCAGGGAGCCCGATGCGGGACTCGATCCCAGGACTCCAGGATCATGACCTGAGCCGAAGGCCGTCGCTTAACCAACTTGAGCCACCCAGGCACCCCACAATTGAATTTTTAAACTTAATTTACAAAATTTTAACTTTTTCTGATGATACATCTACTGCATGTCCATTATAAGACATACTTTGTTACGTGTAAAATACCATAAAGGGGAAAGAGAAAAATCCATTTTACCATTTTTTGCATTTTTCAGAGACAATTAACATTTTGGTGTTTCTTTCCAGGCTTTTTTTTCCTCTCTGAAAAAAAAAAGGCACCAGCTGGTCTGGCAGACCATGCAGCTCAGGAAGCCGGTCAGTCCCACCTCCCCTTGGAGGGCGCTGGGGGTCTGGGGACGACTGTTCCTCCTGACCCGATAAGGGGGGGTCTGGGCCTCTGAGGTGGTCCAGCCTAGAGCTCCAGGAGCCGGCGGGGGGCAATTTGGGCCAATCTGCTGCTGTCCTGGGTCTGTGCTCTGTGCACACAAGGAGAGGCAGGTGGCCTGAGTGGGCTGGGGTCTGGGAGGTTCAGCTAGTGCCCCGGTCTTGGGGGGCTGCTGCATGCTCCACGTCTGGGGGTGTGAGGGGGGAGCTCCTGAGCAGGGGCCGTGCCTGGCAACCTGCCACAAACCCCTCCCAAGTGACCTGGGTCCTGTGCCAACTTGCTGCTTTGGGGTACCCCTCTCTGAGGACCCTGGCCGGCTTCTCCCTCCCCCCCACCCCGGACCCCTGGAGCCCACATCTGTCTGTCCTCAGGCTCCATTCCCAGTCTGAGGTTCCAGCTGCCTCCCGGTTCCCGTCTGACCCTCTACGCTGATGGTCCCCTGCAGCCCCAAGCTTGCTCGGTCTGCGGTGGTGTGCGGCTGGGACGGCCAGGGGCTCTCCACAGAAGACCCGAGCAGTGGGACCATGTGCCTGGGAACAGATGTTTGAAGCAAAGAGGAAAACTGCTCTTTGGGAAACTTCATAACCTGAGTCCAACAACACAAAACAGCTGTGCTGTGGCCAGTCCTACCTTGAGAAGGCCCGAGTAAGTGGACGTGAACTTAGACCCCTACCAGAGACGGGGAAATGGAACAGGCTTGGCTCACAAACCTGTGGCGAATCCAACCCCGGAGAATGGGTTTAGAGAGCAGAGTGACCACTTCATACCTGATGGTGTCTGAAATGGTAAGTCCGGCGTAGACAGAACAGAGGTAGGGTGGACACGATCCTCCGTCCTCAGGGCAACGCACACTGAACCACTCTTCTGGAGACACGTGGCCCTGAGAAGAGCCAGAAGCCTGCTCACCGGTCCTCAGGCATAACCCACTGGTAGCAACTCCACTGCAGACGCTCCCTCTGCCGGTCAGCACGTCCCCTACCCCACCCCCACCCTCCCGGGACACCGCGTGCAGGTGCGGCCCAGGCTGAGGCGAGGGGTGTTATGAAGGCTCAGGAAGAAGGGATAAAGGAACGCCCTTGTCTGCCACGGAGGGAGCATCAAGAACACTCACGTCCAAGGAGGCGGGCTGTGGACCACATGGGGAGGCGCTGGGCCAGGGCCGAGATTGGGTGACCCGTTCTGCCGTGGATCCCTTCACTGTTGCCGAGACATTTCTGCAGCCCGTGTCAAGAATGTGCTGTCCTTGAGGTGAGGTTTCGGGCTTGCTGAAATTCACCACTCCTTACACTTGTTTGGACCCCCAGTATTCCTCTCCCAGCCCTGACTGTTGGCAGCCCCGGGCTCTGAAACCCATGATGCTTGACTCCAGGTGACCTTCAGATGCGTTTCCCTCCTGGTCGTGCACCGTCGAATCATACACAGAAAGCAGTCCATGCTGACTCCAAGCTGCTTATTTGGGTATTGTCTGCCTGCCCTATACACACACACCATCTGCACACACCACAGCTCACTCATGCACAGCCGGACACACACGTACGGACACACGCACACTCACGCACAGCCAGACTCACATACACACAGTCATGCACAGCCAGGCACATACCCACACCCACACGCGCCCATGCGCACCGTCGCTTACATACGTGTACACCTGCGCATGTCTTTGTGTGCACACGCACCCCCCCACACACTACTTGTCCGGTGTGCTGAGAAAGCAAGTGTTAACAGGATGGCCATCCTCCTGGGACAGGTTTGCGCCGTGTTCATCATTCCCTGCCTCTCCCAACCCCTGGCTATGTGCTTGGGCTCACACAGAAGAGTCCCATGGGCAGCTAAGGCTTGGCTAGCAGGGCTGTAAGGGATGCAGATTTGCCTGGACGGAGCCTTCCTGGGGCAGCAGCTGGAGGCCCTGCCAGGAGCGGCCAGGTGCTGTGCTGGTCCACTAAGCCAATGAGCCAAACAGAGTAACAATCAAGCCTTTATTCATTTCTGGCAATGGCACAGCAAGGGCCCAGAACCAAAGTGCTGAGTCCCCTCGTTCTGCTCTCTCCTCCATGGAAAGGCACAGTTAAGGTGGGTCAGCAGCTGGGATGGGGCGCCACACTGCAGAGGGAGCCCCAAACAAAAGGGCCCTGCTCCTTTTTGGACTTGGAGGAGGGTGAGGACTAAGTGGTGGGTCAGAGTGGGGAAATAAAGAAGACCTTGGCCAAGGGGACCCGGTGAAGCGGCCTCCAGATGGAGATGCTCTGGTTCGGAGTAGGCTGCGCCCCAAGCCCCGCCGGCCAGAGGCCTGAGTCCTTACAGCGGCTCCCTCAGAGACCACGATGCTCTGGCCGGGCACCAAGCCTGGTGGGGGGAGGGTGGCTCTCCCGCCCCAGGCCTGCAGGTGAAGCCTCTGTGCTCCCTGATGGCCAGATGACGGATCCCGTGTGTGACCTGGCCTGGAGCCTACTCAGGGAGCCCAGTCTACGTGGAACGCCCTCTCCAGCAGGGTGAGGAGGTCAGGATGGAGCCCTGGGAGCCGGATGCCAGCCTCCTCCCAGGCCCCTAGGTCCTAGGGTGGACACCTTTTGCGTGGGGACACACCTCAGGGGCTGGGCCGGGAGGGCGAGCAGCATCTCCCCCTTCTGCCTTCTGGGGCAGCCTGCACACTGCACAGCCTGGACCCCTGGGTGGGGCAAGCAGCTCTCCCAGAGAGCCTGGTCAGGCCTGCAGGGAGCCCACATCTCCCTGGACGTGGCTGTGGCCAGCTGGGAGAGCTGAGGCCAGGAGGGGTCGGCACACTCCTGTTCCCTGGGCTGGGAATCCAGGGTCACCGGGAGACGAGGTCACTCTGCTTGTGCACAGGACACCACTCCGTGTCCGGGTAGAGAAGGCAATGGACAGACTTGAACCTGGGAAGGGAATGTGGAGGTCAGGCCTGCTGGGCTATAGGTGTTGTGGGGGGCTGGCGTGAGAGCCCCTCCCCACCGCCCACTCACCGTGTGGGGTCCTGCTGCAGGCTGAAGCCTCCGGCCACATTCACCACGTTATGTGGGTTCTCTGGACCCCCGTAGCTCAAGGTGACCTGGCGGGGGCATGTCATTCTCTCAGAACCCCCACACCCTCCGCCTGCCTCCGGAGCCAAACCAGGAGAGGCTGCTGTGCCTCTGGCTTCTGGAGGCCCTCCAGGCCAGGACAGGACCGCCCCCGCCCCCTCCCCCCGCAGGCCCCCAAGGGCAGGCTCCGGAACAACGTGGAAGCGCTGAGAAGTGCAGCCGACACAGGAGACACCTCAGGAGAGTGCTTGGTGCACATGCGGGGGCACCCCTGCACACGCCTGTCCCTCTCTGCGGCCGGCCCTGTGACCACACTCCCCACCTCGGCAGCTGCCCAGTTACCCAGCTGCCCTGGGCCTGTCGGCTTGGGAAAGCACAGAAGCTGCGCCTCACAGATGAGCCCCCACACCCAAGCCCCTGGGTCCCAGCAGGCCAAGCACCGGGTCTGCAGCAAGTTCGCTGAGGGGCTGGGAGTGCCTCCTTGAGCCCTGGTGACCTGGCCTGAGATCTGGGTGAAGGGCCAGGTGCCTTGGGGGGCAGGTGGGGGTGAGGCCCCAGGAGTGCCCAGGGGCCGTACCTGCTGCAGCACGGCGTCAGGCGGCAGCCTCTGCAGGTTCTCCAAGTGGGAATGGAAGAGCGAGCTAGGCAGCAGGCGGGCGCCCAGCAGCCCCTCCACGATGTAGCCCACTGTGCAGTCATCCGGCAGCCGCACCCGCTCGGCTGTGCTCATGAAGCTGCCCAGACTGGTGAGGGGTCGGGGGAAGCGGGTCAGGGCCTCCACAGTCCTCAGCACCACCACTCTGGGCCTCCCAGCCCAGGCAGCCGGCACCCCCGTGTACACCCCGCCCCCGCCCCGCTCACCTGGCCCAGGGGCTCATCTTCAGCGCGAGGCCTCTGCTCAGGCAGAACCCGGCCCCACCCGTGGCGAACCAAAACTTGACAGTGGTCACCTGAGGAGGAGAAAAGTGCCAGGCAGGGTGTCGTCCTTGAGCGGCCCCTCAGCAACTCCCCACACAAGTGGCAGAAGTGCCCTGGGGCACAAGAGGATGGGCTTCTGCCACCGGGTCCCCCAGGGCCCCGGCTCCTCCCACAGCACCTCCTGAAGTGCCCCCACCCCCGGGGTGGGTCAGACACCTGCCCCTGCTGCCCTTCCCTGCGGGGCCTCCCCTCTCTCAGCCGCCGCTCCCCAGCTCAGCACTCACAGTGCCCCCTCCCTGGACTCTCTCAGCGGCCTCGATGGGGTGGTCCAGGCTGGGCCGCCCCAGGTAGACATCCTGACTGGGCGAGAAGGTGGATAGCAGCCGGAGCAGGCCTTTGGGGTTCACATAATTGTCATCATCCACATGGCAGAACCACCTGGGGGCGGTGGGGAACGCTCACGAGTGAGGGGCTGGTGCAGGTGGAGGCCTCCACCCCCTGGCCCAGGTGTGTGGGCCCGGCCTCAGCCCTGGGCTCTCCCGGGGGGCACCGGGGCGTGGCCATCACACACTTGCGTCTCGACTCGATGAACGTGTCGTATTCCACAGACATCTTGCAGCACAGCGCCTGGCGAGTGTGCACGGCTGAGCAGTTGGTATTGATTATGTGGCTGCCTGCTGGGTTGGGGAAACCAGGCAAGTGTGAGGGCCACGATGAGAGGAGGCCTGCCGCCGGCCCACCCCACGGACATCCGGGCAAAATGTGGCTGTCCAGCGTGCCTTGCCATCTCGCCCTGCTCAAAGCCCCCAGGCCTGGCCTCACTTGCTGAGCTTGTTGCTGACCCACAGGGCCCAGGCAGGTGACAGCCATTTGGAATCCCATGAGTGCAAAGCCACCGCAGGGTTGAGGAAACGTGCCTGAAGTGGGGCTGCCAGAAGGGAGCGTCTTCAGGGACCAGGGCTCCAGCCTGAGGCCCTGGGAAGCCTGCCAGGGGCTGCGGGAGGCAAAGCCCGGCTGGCAGGGTGGGGCCCTGGCTGCTGGGCTGGTGGCAGGTGGGCATCCCAGCTCTACCAGCTATGTGACCCTGGGCAAGTGACTTAACCCCTGGGTCTCTGTACATAGCAGGGAGACTGGTGTCACCGCACCGAAGGATACGTGAGGGGCCCCGGTGCACAGTGGGGAGTGCACTCACCTCCCTGGAGTCACCGGTGCACAGTGGGGAGTGCACTCACCTCCCTGGAGTCACCGCACCAAAGGATACGGGAGGCTCCCCGGTGCACAGTGGGGAGTGCACTCACCTCCCTGGTGTCACCGCACCGAAGGACACGTGAGGGGCCCCGGTGCACGGTGGGGAGTGCACTCACCTCCCTGGAGCTGGAGCTCAGGGTCATCCCCGTCCGTGAAGATGAATGTCTGGGGAGAGACAACCTGTGAGACCCCAGGTGGACCATGATGCAGCCGCAGAGATGCCAGAGGGTGAGCCTGGGCTTCAGAGCTGGAGCTTCGGGATGAGAAGAGGGTGCCCAGGACGGGCCTGGACCCTTGGGGTTGGGATGGGGGAGAGGGGAGGCCTGCTACTGTCCCTGGCGTCTCCTGGTGCGGCTGGGACCAGGCCTGCTCTCACGGGATGTCTGTGGGGTCTTGGTCCAGGGTCAGCTGAGAGAACCCACCCAGGTAGGAGGGGCGCAGGGCCTGGGTCCCCACGGACTCAAAGCAGGGGTCTGGCCATCACTCTGGGGACACAGCAGTGGATAGGGGATCCCGGGGTTGGGGTCCCCGGGGCAGCCCTTGCGGGGACAGGGGTGTCAGGGGTCGCGGACGTTTGCAGTCCGGGCTCAGGATCCTGGCTGGGGGATCCTGGGGCAGGGGTGCCGAGATCGGGGATCCCGGGGCAAGGCCCACCTGTTTGCGGGCCCGAGAGATCCAGGTGCTCAGTAGCAGCCCCAGTCGTGGCCCGTGGTTCTTCTGGGTGGTCTTGACAGCGATGAAGACGTCGTCCGGCCGCAGGCGGGGGGCGGTGGCGGGTCGGGCGGGGGACGCCCGCCGGCCGGGGCCCGGAGTCGGAGCCGGGGCCGGGGCGGGGGCCGGGGCGGGGGCCGGCACCGGCATGCGGGGCAGCGGCAGCGGCAGCGGCAGCGGCAGCGGCAGCAGCAGCAGCGCGGCCAGGGCCGCGGCCAGCGCGAGGCAGGCCCGGCACAGCGCCCCCCGCACGCGGCTCATGCGGCCGCGGGACCCGCGGGCACCGCCCGGGCCCAGGCCGCGCCGCGGCCCCTTTAAGAGCCGCCCCACCCACCCGCCCGCCACGACCCGGAAGCGCTGCCCCGGAAGTGGATGGCGCTGCCCCGGAAGTGAACGGCGCGCCGCGGCGGGGTGGGTGAAGATGCCGCTGCCGGTTCAGGTGTTTAATTTGCAGGTAACGAGCCGCGGCCGGCGGCCCCTCCGCGCCCTCCCCCGCCCCTACTCCTACCCTCCCATCCCCGCCGCCGCCGCCGCCGGGCCGGAGCCGGGCCCCCGCGCGGCCTCCCCTCCCCGCGGCCCGGCGGCCTCGCGCAGGGTCCCCGCCGTCGGCCCGGCAGGGCCGGCCCGGCGCTAACGCTCTTTCTCCCTTCAGCAGCAGGCCAGCTCTGTGTCAGGGTCGGGGGGTGCAGAGAGTCAGGACAGAATGAGGGATAGCCCGGCCCCCAGCTCGGCCTCCTCGTCAGTGACAGATCTGTACCGCGCCCCTCACAGCAGTAGGTCAGACCTCTTCCTGCCGGGCACGGCCGGGGACTTCAGCCTGAGCGCCAGCCTGTCGGCCTGTACGCTGCTTTATGAGGTACCTTCCAGGACAGGGGGCCCAGGAGCGAGCGAGCGCGGGAGGGGGGCGCACCCCCACCCGCCGGGCCAGCCAGCGCAGGAGGGGCGCCCCAGGAGCCTCCTTCCCGCCGCCGCCCGGGCCCTGGGCCTCTGCTGCCGGGCGCTCCTGTGGCTCGGAGGAAGCTGCGTCAGGACGGTGGCCGGGGACGTGCAGGGACTGTCGGGGCCCCTGGGCAGGGGGCCTCCCCGCTGCCTGCCCTCTGCTCCAGAGACCGGCGGGGCATTGGGCGCCTGGGCGCTCTGCTCAGCAGCTGCTGGGCCTGCGAGGGGCGGCACTGGACGCAGGCCGGGAGCGGGGAGGGGCAGGGACGGCAGGCGCTCCCGGACAGGATCCCGCCGGGGACGTGGCACCACCGCAGAGCCCAAGCGAGGGCACGGTGAGGGTTTCTCGCCCTTCCTGGGCAGTCTGGTTCGAGTGCCAAGGTGCCCGCCTGTGTTGCAGGGGGCCGTGGAGCCCATGCAGATTGATGTGGACCCCCAGGAGGACCCGCAGAACGCACCCGATGTCAACTATGTGGTGGAGAACCCCACCCTGGTAAGGAAGCCTCCAGGCGGTCCTGGAGCAGGCAGGAAGGGGCTTGGGGTGTCAGTCCTGGGGTAGGGGCTAGGCCATGCTTTTCCCTGACTCAGAAACCTTTGGGCTGTTCAGTTGCCCTCTTGTCACGAGGAGTGGTAGCCCAGCCGGAGACCGTGCACCCCACTTCTCTCCCACATGCAAGAGCCCCATGTGCAGCTTTTCTCAGACCGAGGACGGGTCTTTCTTGGGGCCCAGACTGTGGAGCACTGCTTCCTGACTGCTCCGCCTGGGGACTGGCAGTCACGAGCGGTCCCATCTGGTTCTGGCCATTCACCCCCTCAACCTCCAGGGCAGAGCTCTACCCTGGAGGCCTCTGCCCTGGCCCCCCCCAAGTGGCCTTTGCCAGCACTGGATAGCGGTCTGTCTGGTGCCCGTATACCCACTTGTTCTTGTTATCGGCATAGGGCTTCTCAGATACTGCAGAAGGGTCAGCATTTGGGTCCTGCTCCTGACTCACTTGCCAGGGCTTGGGATCTGGGGTCCCGCCTTGCACGGTCTCCATCCAACCCCCCCACCCCCACTTCAGGATCTGGAGCAGTATGCGGCCAGCTACAGTGGGCTGATGCGCATCGAACGACTGCAGTTCATTGCTGACCACTGCCCCCCGCTGCGGGTGGAGGCCCTGAAGATGGCCCTTTCCTTTGTGCAGAGGACCTTCAACGTGGACATGTATGAAGAGATCCACCGCAAGCTCTCGGAGGCCACCAGGTGAGACCGGGGGCTTGGCAGGAGGAGGCAGGGCCCTTGGTGGGAGCAGACACTTGGGGTTGGATGTGGTATGTCCCTCTTGCGTCTAGCCGGCGCGGGAGACTTTCCTGTGCTTCTATGACGCCTGACACCATCCCCATGTGGGCACCATCACTGCCTCGATGCGGTCTTCCTTGTTGAAAAGCCAGGAAGGGTGATAAATGGCAAAACGGGCTAGGTTCTCACTCTGCCCACTGTGCTGTCTGCGTCGTCTGGCTTTTTTCTGTGTGCACGTGACATCAAGCAGAGGTTGTGGTGACAGCAACTTGCTTCTCTTCTCTTGGCGTGGCTGCACGCACGACCCTTTTCCTGTTGGGCGTCCGCACCAGGCCGGGGTCCCCGTGTTCCTGTGCCGGCTGGGTGCTCACTTGGCAGGGGCCGGGCAGGGGCCCCCAGGCGGCACCCATCTGCCTGCACCTCGGCCCCTGATGGCCCAAGTACTCCCTCAGGGAGCTGCAGAATGTGCCTGACACCATCCCCGAGAGTGGCGTGGAGCCGCCGCCCCTCGACACGGCCTGGGTGGAGGCCACGCGGAAGAAGGCTTTGCTGAAGCTGGAGAAGCTGGACACGGACCTAAAGAACTACAAGGGCAACTCCATCAAGGAGAGCATCAGGTGCTGCTCACGGGAGACCGGGGGGCGGGCAGCGAGGCCCGTGTGGCCCTGGGTCCAGGTCCGCTCATGTCTGGGCCCACAGGCGTGGCCACGATGACCTGGGTGACCACTATCTGGACTGTGGGGACCTGAGCAATGCCCTCAAGTGTTACTCCCGGGCCCGGGACTACTGCACCAGCGCCAAGCATGTCATCAACATGTGCCTCAACGTCATCAAGGTGGGCCCTGCCTTGCCGGGGTCGGGAGGGGATGCAGGGCCGCACTGCCTCTGAGCCAGGAGGGGGCGTCCCAGGCTGAATCCACCCGCCCGCCCGCCAGGTCAGCGTGTACTTGCAGAACTGGTCTCACGTGCTGAGCTACGTCAGCAAGGCCGAGTCCACCCCGGAGATTGCGGAGGTAATGCCGGCTTCGCACTCTCTCTGCTTTCTCAGACCTTGTGCCAGGACTGCTGAGGCTCAGGCAGGCCTGGTCTTCCCCGGCCTGCCTTTGCCCCTCTCAGGCTGAGGCAGGGCCTGGGGAAGGACCAGGATGTGGAGGCCGGGGCTCACGTGTCCCGCTTTCTCTTGCAGCAGCGTGGGGAGCGGGATAGCCAGACCCAGGCGATTCTCACCAAGCTCAAGTGTGCTGCAGGTGAGGGCCTTGGGACGGCAGGCCGCCACAGCTGACCCCAGCTGACCCCAGCACCGGGGGTTGGCCTGTGCATGCCGTAGGTCGGGTCCTCACAGCCAGGGTGGTGGGCCTTCGTCACAGCCGAGGAAATGTCTGAGCCCTGCACCCATGGCTCCAGGGGGTGCCTGCCAGGCTCCAGGCCTGGGCGGGGAGGCCAGCGGCGGCCAGTGGTCAGGAGCTGAGGTGTTACTAACAGGTAGGCCCAGGAGTCCTTTGCAGGAGAGACCACCGCTGTGCACGACTTTCCTGGGCCCTTGACTCGAGGAGAGTGCCCCAGTCAGTGCTCGCGGGGGTGGCCACATCTTGACCAGAATACCTGTCCCTAACGCTGAGGAGCAGCTGGGGTGGGAGAGGTGACGGTGGCTCTGGCAGCTTCCTCCGGGCACTGGGCTTCATTCTGCACCCCCCCGGCCTCCCCCCCGCCTCCCCAGGCCTGGCCGAGTTGGCCGCACGCAAGTACAAGCAGGCTGCCAAGTGCTTCTTGCTGGCTTCGTTCGATCACTGTGATTTCCCCGAGGTGAGGGACAGGAGGGTGTCTGGGGACGAGCCCTTGGTGGGACTTGGGAAGCAGGGGGAGGGCTCGTGGGTTAGGCTCTTTATTGAGGGGTATCTCCTCTGTGGAGTCCTGCAGATTTTTTGGGTGGGTGGTGGGCGGGGCAGGGATGACCCAGCCTTGTGTCTGGGCTTCCTCCTTGGATTCTGTCTCGACTGTCAGTGACCGCGGGGGTCTGGACCCAACTCTTTTCTTGCCTTTCAGCTGCTTTCTCCCAGCAACGTGGCCGTCTACGGTGGCCTGTGTGCCTTGGCCACTTTTGACCGGCAGGAGCTGCAGCGCAACGTCATCTCCAGCAGGTGGGTGGAGGGTGGGGTGCTCGCCCTGCAGCCTGTCCCCCTCAGGGGCCCTTTCTCTGGCCCTGCCCCCTCCCAGAAGCCTGAGGACTTGTACTCTCCGGGCCTGTGGGGGGCTCCGGTTCCCCGCCTCTGGCCTTCAGGGCAGATGGGCAGGCGCAGTGCTGGCTCTGAGGGGTATGCACCTGCAGCTCCTTCAAGTTGTTCTTGGAGCTGGAGCCACAGGTTCGAGACATCATCTTCAAATTCTATGAGTCCAAGTACGCCTCGTGCCTAAAGATGCTGGATGAGATGAAGGTGAGGGACCTGCCTGCTTTGGGGGCGGGGCAAGGCAGAAGGCGGGGGGCAGCGGTGCCTGACCAGGTCTCCTCACCAGGACAACCTGCTCTTGGACATGTATCTGGCCCCCCATGTCAGGACCCTGTACACCCAGATCCGCAACCGCGCCCTCATCCAGGTAGACATGGGGGCACGAAGGCTGAGGCAGGGCACTGCGGGCACGCCTGGGAGTCGCGGGAGGCCCACGCACCCTCTGCCTTGCAGTATTTCAGCCCCTACGTGTCAGCGGACATGCACAAGATGGCCGCAGCCTTCAACACCACCGTGGCGGCGCTGGAGGACGAGCTGACGCAGCTCATCCTGGAGGGGCTCATCAACGCCCGCATCGACTCCCACAGCAAGGTGGCCAGGCCTGGGCCCAGGCCATGGGTGCAGGGAGGGGGCCCCTGAGCGCTGATGAGCACCGCCGAGCCCCGTCCCTCCCGCTGCAGATCCTGTACGCCAGGGACGTGGATCAACGCAGCACCACCTTTGAGAAGTCGCTGCTGATGGGGAAGGAGTTCCAGAGACGTGCCAAAGCGATGATCCTGCGGGCAGCCGTGTTACGCAACCAGATTCACGTCAAGGTGAGGGCAGGGGCGGCCCCGGCGTGGAGGAGCGGCGGGGTGGGCACAC